CACACAACCAACCCACCATCCATCCATCCAACCATCCACCCATCCAACCATCCATCCATCCATCCATCCATCCATCCATCCATCCATCCAACCTTTACCGAGACCCTACTCTATGCCAAGCACTGTTCTAGGCATCTAGGGACTCAGCAGTGACCAAATTCTGCCCTCGTGGGACTGATATCCCAGTTGGTTAGAGAAACAATGCACTTGGTAAAAAGGCAAAATATACAGTTTGTGAAATGGTGTTAAGAGCTATGGAGAAAAGCAGAGGACCAGGAAGGGGATGAGAACGGTAGGGGTGCCGTTTTTGATGGGATGGGCAGGGGAGGCCTCACTGAGAAGGTGAGATGAGTAAAGATCGGAGGAGGCGAGAGCGTCTGGGGGAAGAGCATTCTAGGCAGAGGAAACAGCCCGTGCAAAGGCCCTGCCCTGAGCTGGGACCATGTCTGGCTTGTTCAAGAAATAGTGAGAGGCCTGTGTGGCTGGAGCAAGGTGAGTGAGGGGGAACGTGGGAAGAGCTGAGGGCAGAGAGGGGACAGGGGCAGATCGTAGGAGCCTGGGGGGGTGGGGGGTGGGGCTCAGTGGGGACTTTGGCTTTTATCATAGGATGTGGTAAAGCCACAGGAAGATTCTGGGTAGGGGAGCTACGTGACCCGACTCAGGTATTCACAGGATCCCTCAGGGCGTATGTGAGGAACAGACAGAGGGACAGTGGGGAGGAGCAGGGAGAGCAGTCTAGGCAGGAGATGACACAGGAGATGACAAAGGACAAGGGCGGGGGCTGTGGCTGGAATGCACAGGGGGCAGATTCTCCATCCGTTCAGATGGTGGAGCCAACAGGATTTGTTGATGCACAAGGTGTGGGGTGAGAGGAGAGGGGTCCTAACCCTCATGGGCATACGTTCTAGTGGAGAGACATAGAGACAGAGACACAGACATGTAAACCAGAGACAAAGGCTGGAGGAGAGAGGTTGGGCCATAAACGAGAGAGAGACTCACAGACACAGCGACAGACCGTCAGATGGCAGATGCAGACAGACACTGGGGAGAGATGCCCAGGGAGGCCCCGATCGGCTGTCCTTGCTCCTTGCCTTGCCCACTGGCCTCCCTTCCCCCAAACAGGTGATCGACTTCGGCTCGGCCAGCATTTTTAGTGAGGTGCGCTACGTGAAGGAGCCGTACATCCAGTCGCGTTTCTATCGGGCGCCCGAGATTCTGCTGGGGCTGCCCTTCTGTGAGAAGGTAGATGTGTGGTCACTGGGCTGTGTCATGGCCGAGCTGCACCTGGGCTGGCCGCTCTACCCCGGCAACAACGAGTACGACCAGGTGCGCTACATCTGTGAGACCCAGGGCCTGCCCAAGCCCCACCTGCTCCACGCCGCCCGCAAGGCCCACCACTTCTTCAAGCGCAATCCTCATCCAGATGCCGCCAACCCCTGGCAGCTCAAGTCCTCTGCTGACTACCTGGCCGAGACCAAGGTAGGGGGGCAGGTGGGGCGAGGGCAGTCAGTGTGGGGGCTGCTGCACCAAGAAAAAATCCAGGGAAGAGTGGAAGCTGGGGGACAGCTACGGGGATTGTCACAGCAAGAGAGATCTGGGCAAGACCAAAGATGGGATGGGAAATTTGAGGGTCACCCTGGGTGCTGCTGTAGCAAGACAGATAACGGGTGAGACTGCATGGAGGACTGGAGAATCTGGGTCACACCACGAGGGTGACAGGGTAGAGCAGGTCCTCTGCCAGCTCCGGATCTGGGGTCTGGCCAGCGTGTGCAGCGTGAGGGGTCTGAGTGAGGTCCCAGGGTGGGAGGGGGAGGCTGGAAGTCTGGGGCAGCCGGTCTGCTCCCTCTGTGGCTGCAGTCGTCACGCATGCACAGCAAGAGTCCGGGTGAGACGCAGGGGACTAGGAGTTTGGGCCAGCCTTGGGAGCTGTCACAGCAAGAGGGGTGTGGAGGAGACCAAGGGTGGGACTGAAAGCAAAGGCAGCTTCTCTGACAGCGCCTTGCCTGGGGGGTGTCAAACTGGTGTAACCAGAAGGTTCAATCGCTGGGAGACCCTGGGGGCCGGGATCGGGGGTGGGGGCTCTAGCGGCCACAGGGGTCCGGGTTTGATTCCGAGGAGGACTGCAAGTTCAGAGCACTCCCTCTACTAGTGGCTGGTGGGGGTTGAGTCCACAGCTCTGGAAAGGGCTGAAGGTCTGGGGTGAGGTGCAGAACTTGGTGGGTGAGAGCTCAGGGTTAGATGACGAGAGGACCGCAGAACACGATCAGGTGTCCTTCCTGCAGCAAGAGGAGGGCTCTGCAGGTCCGGTGTTAGGGGGGGCAGGTGTGGCCCAACCAGCAGCAAAAGGGCTCCGAGTCAGATCACAGGCAGAACGGGAAGTCAGGGTTCAGGCGTGTGGACTTCGTAGCAACGAGAGGGCTCTGGGCCAGATCGGAGGACAACCTGGAAGCTGGGGGGATGGGGGTGTCACGTGTGGGCCCCCTGCAGGTGGCCCGAGGCCTGCACTCCACGCCGACCCCGCCCACCACGTCCCGCCAGGTGCGCCCCCTGGAACGCCGCAAGTACATGCTCAAGTCGCTGGACCAGATCGAGACGGTGAACGGTGGCGGAGCCGCCGGTCGGCTGACCTTCCCGGACCGAGAGGCGCTGGCGGAGCACGCGGACCTCAAGAGCATGGTGGAGCTGATCAAGCGCATGCTGACCTGGGAGTCGCACGAGCGCATCAGCCCCAGCGCCGCCCTGCGCCACCCCTTCGTGTCCATGCAGCAGCTGCGCAGCGCCCACGAGACCACCCGCTACTACCAGCTGTCGCTGCGCGGCTGCCGCCTCTCCCTGCAGGTGGACGGCAAGCCCGCCACGCCCGGGGTGGCGGCCGCCGAAGACGGGCCCCCCTACTACTGTCTGGCGGAGGAGGAGGAGGCCGTGGGCATGGGCGGTGTGGTGGGCGGCGGGCCCTTCTTCCGGGAGGAGAAGGCACCGGGCATGCAGCGGGCCATCGACCAGCTGGACGACCTGAGTCTGCAGGAGGCGGGCCGTGGGCTGTGGGGCGAGGCCCCCGACGTGCTGGCCCCACTCAAGGTGGCTGCGGCTGGCCGCCGGGTGCCCGACTCGGGCCCCGAGCCCATCCTGGCCTTCTACAGCAGCCGTCTGGCTGGCCGCCACAAGGCCCGCAAGCCCCCCACAGGCTCCAAGTCCGACTCCAACTTCAGCAACCTCATCCGCCTGAGCCAGGCCTCCCCCGAGGACGACGGGCCCTGCCGGGGCAGCGGCTGGGCAGAAGGAGAGCACCGCGGGGCCTCCGCTGAGCCGCCCACCATCCCACAGCGGGATGGGGATGGGCCGGACATCAAGGACATGACCATGGAGGCTGAGGTAAGCCAGGGGGCGGGCAGGGTGCAGGTGGTTCTGGGGTCGGGGCCTCCCTCAGAGCTCCAGGGTGGGGGCGCAGTGAGCCGGGCCTTGGCCCCCACACACCTGTGTTGCCTGCAGCGGCTCAGGGGCTAACACACACCAGCCCCACCCTGGGATGTGACGAGGCTCTACACACACTAGCCCACGTTCAGGATATAACCAGGGTGTGACAAGGCTCTGCACATACTGATCTACTGTGAGGCTGTGTGAAAACTCAGAAGAGGGCGAGCCACCTGTAGGAAGTGATAGATAAAGGCCCAGCACTGAGAACGAGGCCTCAGCGTGTGCTCGCCCATCCTCAGGAAGATGTGACAAAGCCTCAGCAGACACTAACACACCCTCGGGACACGTTATAGTCTCACCACACACCATCGAAGCCCCCAGGGTGTGACAAGGGTTGCAAAAGCATAGAATGGCCCTCAGGAAGGGATAAGGGTTCAGGTGGGAAAGGAGGGGATCCAAGGGGGGCAGCAGGCTGGTGGCTTCCAGGCTGATGCCCTCTTTTGCCCCCGCAGAGGCCAGACTCTGAGCTCTTCGACCCCAGCAGCTGTGCTGGGGAATGGCTGAGTGAGGACTGGACCCTGGAGGGCATGAGGGGCCCTCGGGCTCAGGGCCTCCCGCCACGCCACGTCCACCCGCACGGTCAGCCCCGGGCCACCAGCCTTCTGCAGCATGTTGGCGGGCACCACTGACGGTGACCCCACCCCTGCCAGTCACCAGGGGCTGTGCTAGCTGGGCTGGCATCCCCTCAGAGCCACTCCCTGAATCCAAAAATTATTCTTACAGAAAGATAGTTATCCTTCTCCCCGCCCACGGCGTATACCTGCACACACTCCCTGAACACAAGAGGGCCTTGGTGTCTGGCCCGTGGCCCCCTCGGCCAGAGGGACGCAGGAAGGAAGGGGACTGTACCCCGCTGGCCCTGAGCACGTCCTCGGCCCCTCTCGGCCCTGTTGCCTCTGCCTATTCCAATAAAAACCTGTTCACAGCCTTGCCTCATGCCTGTCCTCCTGCCTGAGGCGAGCCTGGCCCGGTGCTGGGGTGGGTTTCAGGCTGGCGCCTAGGCCCTGCTCTCCGATGCTGCACCATCGGCCGCTGGCTCAGGCTGGTGGCTGAGCTGCCATGGCATTGGGAGGGACAGGCTGTGCTTGGCAGACCCACCCCCTAAATACACTGAGTGCTTGGCACGCGAGAAACCACCCTCAGAGCATTATGTTCAGTAGGTGCTAACCCAAGTTTGCCAGATGCCAAGGTCTCTCTGTTGACCAGTTCTTGCCACGTTACAGGCTTGCCACGCACTCATCCGTGCTTGGTGCAGATTCACTTGGCGTGTGTAAATTTATGCTTAGTGTTCAGACATGCGAGTCCACCCTTGGGATACGGATGGCATGGTTCGCCGTATGCTCATCTGGCTGGGAACACGTGAGTGTGTGGCACATACCACCCCATGCTGGCTACGCGAAGCTCAGCACACGCCAGCCACACAGTCACACACCGCATGCTCGGCACGTGCCAGCTCACGTGCATTGCCCACCAAGGGCTCAGCACACGGCAGCTTGAGCCCTTCACGTGTGAGGCTGCATCCATTACATGCTAAGGGCTCAGCACATGCCAAACCAATGGGCCACAAGCTACATGCTAACCAGAGTCAGGTCACCCGTTGAGGGCTCAGCACATGCCAGTCACATGCTATGTGCTCGGCACATGGCAAGCACATGCTAAGGGCCGGCGTACACTCTCATGTCCCCACCAGAGGCCCATGCCGGCTGACCCCTATCCCGATACCCCACCTCACACCACTCAGTCAGGCATAGGCTATACAGACAAGTTATTTACTTCTTATCATAACCTTGGGCCCTCTTTGCCCTGGGAAGGGGGTGGGCCGGGGGACTGGGCCCAGCATGCACCCCCACTTCTTTGGGGGCTGATCTCTCCCCCAGCTCGGCTGGGTCCTGGGGCCACAGCGTCAGGCCTGTGGGGGCGGAGGTAGAGGTGGGAGAGCAGGGGGCCTGTGGAGCCACAACGGGGCAGACAGAAGCAGGGGGCATGGGGACAGGGTCAGGGCCCAGGACTCCTGGGTCCACGGGGGCCTTGCAGGCCTCGGCCTGTCCTCTGGGCCAGGCCTCACAGCAGGCGACAGGCGTTGCCCACGCTGTCAGCTGAGGTGTCGAGGTCATGGCTGTAAGGGGAGTCCCAGTCCCTCAGGAAAACGGCCTCCAGCTGGCTCCGCAGACCACCCCGCCCGTTCTGTGTCACCAGCAGCGAGGTGCCCGCCGTCTCTGCGAAGTAGCTGCCAGACCAGTTGGACGTTCCTGTGGGGCGGGGAGCAGGGTCAGGGCCCACGGTGGCACCTGGCCCCCTTCTGTAACCCCGGCGATGCTTGAACACTTACCAATGTAGGTGGCACGCTCGGTCACCATGTACTTATTGTGGTTGACGCGGGCATATGGGATTCGGGCCTGGGCCTCGTCCGCAGGAACCACGAAGAGTTTCTGAGGGGGAGGGGAGAACAGGAAGCAACAGGAGATGCACAGGGGTGGTGAGAGAAGCCCCAGGGTCGGGGCTAGGGAGTGGAGGCAGGTCTGTGGGATTGGGGATCTCACTGCTTCCCATGGAACCCTCAGGGCCAGAACAGGGCCCGGTGGGGTGGGTGTCAGTCAACACTGGCTGGAAGGCAGGACTCCGTCACCTCACTTGCCCGCTCTAGAGTCCCTCTCAAATGGCTCCTATTTGTTCCTTAGGTCTCACCTCAGGTGTCCCCTTTCCCAGAAAGTCTTCCGTGATCGCTCAGGCTGGTACTGCCTTTGGACCCTCCCTCCTTGGCCCTGATGCCTCTGCCCCCAACCCTACCCAGCCCTGACCCCTCTGCCCAGGAGCCCCCATCTCACCCAGACCCCTCTACCCATGCTTCCCCAATCCAGGCCCTGACCCACGTTCTCCCCATCACAGCAGGGCTCACTGTGGGTCATCTCTGTCAGATGACAGGCGAGCTCCACGAGCGCTGTGTCCCCAGCACTACCCCACGCAGGGGCTGAGGGCTGGTCTAGGGCAGGTGCTTACCACCTGGATGTCAGAGTGGGTGTGGTTGTCACGCAGGGCAGCCAGGGAGAGCAGGAAGGCCCGCATGGATGGCTCGGAGTGTCCCCAACAGCTGATCAGGAGGCGTACCTTGATGCCCCGCTCGTAGGCAGCCCTCCGCAGCCCATCGTCGATGGCAGGCCAGAACCTTGGGGAGAGGGGTGCAGGGTACAAGGGCAGCTTTATGCACAAGCCTCACCCTCAGCTTCAGGGAGCCAGGCCTAGGCCCAGCTTCAACTTCGGAGAGCCCCCCAACCCTAAGCCCATCCCATCTCTGACTCCCAGTCCTGTTCCAGCCTCCTTAAATCCCCCATCCCCAATTCCAGCTCTCGAAAATTCCTGCCCATCATCTTGTCTGCTGCCCTCAGACTACCTCCTCTGAGTCCCCCGAGCCCCATCATCTTCTCTTCTTATCCCAGATCACAAATCCCAACCCTGCTGCCCCCCACCTCAGCCCCATCCCATCTCCAGTCCATGCTCCCTGCTTCCTACCTCTGGAAACCCCGCTTCCCCTGCCTCAGGCCTCCAGTCTGCCATTCTCTGCCTTGCAGCCCCCAAATTCTCATCCTTCTGTCCCCTTTTCCCCTATCTGGAGCACCCAGAATCCGCTCCCGTCACCTCTGTCACCTCTGCCGCTCCCCACGGCTTCCTCTCCATCTGTCCCCTTGCCTTGGCCCCATCGCCTGCTTTCTGGACCATGGCTCTGTCTCTCACTCCTCTGCCGCTCGGTGGCCCCCTGCCCTGAGCCCTGCCCACACTCCCAGAAGTACCTGCGTGGGTGGGAGAACTCCATGGTGGGCAGGTAGTTCATGACTGCGATGTAGATGAAACTCCGGGCATTGTCCACCACGTTGAGCAGGGCCTTCAAGTCTGGGGTACGGCCACTTGGACATAGTGGTGGAGGCGCACTCTGGGGGCAAGGGGACAGTCAAGACATGTGCCCTGCCTGGGGCTCGCTGTCGCAGTGGACCCCGTGTACAGACAGCTTGTCACTAACCGGGTCTTAGGGGGTCTCACTGAATCCTCAGCCTCCACAAAGGGCAGTGATGACTGCCACATTCCTCTCGCAGGTGAGGCAATGGAGGCTCAGAGAGGGTAAGTGACTTGCCTGAGGCCACACAGCTGATAGAGCAGGATGTGAACCTAGGCTATCTGATTCCCGAATTCATTCTTGACATAAGGTCCCCGGGAACCTGTTAGAACTGCACATTCTTGGGCCTCGTTGCACAAGGCATACTGAACCAGGGCGCTGAGGCAGGGCCCAGGTGTCAGGTTTTAATGGCCCTCTAGTGATCCTGATGCATGCTCAGGCTTGTGGACCTCTGCTCTAATCACACTCATCCCTGACTTGCTCACAGCCCACTCCAATGGTGCTCCTCGCGTGCTCACGCCACACCACGCGCTTTACTCACCTCCCGCCATCCTCACGACAGGTGAGCATACTCAAGCCGAGAGGGGCAGTGGTAATGGGGGAACCCTTGGACCCGGTGGGAGACCACTGGAGCACAGGACCCCAGTATGTCACATAACTGTCCATACACCCACACCTCTGAGTGGCCCTCCACAATGACTTTGGGCTTGGCCAGGTGAGTCGCTCGAAGGCGACTGAAGGACAGAGGTTGGCCATTCCAACTAGAGAAAATATCAACAGCTAAAAACAGCAGTGCCTTGTCTGGCATGCTCAGTGTCTGCCATGGGGGCAGCCAGAGCTGTCCAACAGACTTTTCTGCAGCGAAGGAAATGTTTCTGCATTGTCTAATATGGTAGCCACTTCCTGCATTTGGCTGCTGAGCACTTGAAATGTGGCTAGTGTGACTGAGAAACTGAATTTTTAACCAGATTTAGAGCTGATGGGGTCTACGACCATGCCACCCTGAACAAGCCCGATCTTGTCTGATCTCGGAAGCTAAGCAGGGTCAGGCCTGGTTAGTACTTGGATGGGAGATCACCTAGGAAGACCAGGTGCTGTAAAAAATAAAAAAAAAATAAAAAATAAAAAAAAGGGATCGTAAACTGAAAAATTCCTTGTAATCTCTGAGGTCAACCCAAGGTTGCCTCACCTAAAAAAAAAAATTTTAAGCTAATGGGGAGATATGGCCGCCGGATCCATGCAACCATACGAGCCCTAAGCGGTGGTAAACATGATACCCATTGTCCAGTTGAAACCGAGCCTTAGGGAGATTGGGACATAACCCGGGCCTCTGCTCAAGCAGAGTAAGCAGGAGTGCACGCTAGACAGATGGAGGCCATGAGGGCGTGTGGCCAGTGAGCGACAGGCCCCTCTTCCTTCAGACTCACTGCCAGGTAGGCCAGAGCAGGGGTTCCATTGAGGCAGATCTCCATCGGTGTCTCTTGATTGTAGCGCGTGTCATAGGGCCGGGGCCAGGTTGATGGGATGGAGCTGCCCGCCTGGCCCAGGTACCAGTAGGCCTCAAAGATCTTGGTCAGGTCTCGAGCTAGGCAGCTGCAGTTGTACATGACCACGCCCAGCTCCTTGACCTGTGGGAGGGCAGTGCTGAGCCTGGGGTAGTGTCTTGGTACCCACGGGTGACATGGACACCTGCAACCCCTTCTCCCTGTACCCCCAGCCCTCTTTCCTGCCCCTTGCTCCTCCATCTCCCCTTCTCTCTGTCCCTCAGCTCCACCCTGCAGATCTTCCAGTTAAAGTCCTGGGCTGGGCATGAACTTGATTCAAGATTTGGTAAAAATCGTGCAGTCATTCCAAAGCTCTGGGTTTCCTGAACCTTTGCATATGCCTTGTTCCCTCCACCAAACAAGCCCCTGCTCATTCTTAGGGCTTGCCTGACAGTTTCCTCCTCCAGGAAGCCTCCCTTGACTGTCCTGACTTTGTCAAGCATTCCTCCGGGGTCTCATGGTCCCTTGGGCTTCCCTTGTCACTCTCTAGTGA